TACCTGGATTCGATCACCGGCAACCGAGTCGGGGGTGTGGTGGCACATGCCTGTGATCCCAGCACTGGAACGGTGGAAAACAGGAGGATCACTATGAGTTGGAGCTACGTAGTGAGACCCTGTACCAAATACATAAATTTTTTTTTAAAAAAGCTTTAAGCCTCCAATGTTGAGCTCATAAAAATGAAGTTGATGATACCACCTAAACATTTGTGATGACTTTCTCAGTAATGAGATTTCTACTTTCTGGGGTTGTTCGTCATCGTTGTTGTTGTTGCTATTATTGATCCTGGGAATCATCAAACTCAGGGCCCCACATTTGCCAGGCAGGTGCTGTGCTGCTGAGCTACATCCCCACCCCAGAGATTTCTACTTTCTGCCTTAGCTTTTTCATAATAAATGATTTTTTCTCTACTGAGAATGGAAGTAGAGGTGGGGCTCTACCACGAATTTACGTCCCCATCCCATTTTAAATTTGGGGAGCAGGATCTCGTTAAATGACCAAATTGCGGGTTGGGCTCTAATTTGAGATCCTCCACCTCCGTCTCCCAGGTTTGCACTTCCCCTTCCTGATGCCTTGAATTCAGGCAAGCACCACTTGGGCTATCCCCCGTCATTTTATGTGTCTGCTGACATGGCCTGGCTAGGTACCTTGAGCTGGCTCTTCAACTTTGATTTATCTGCCTCAGCCACACCGGGTTTATGTGAGTCGTTTGCAGTCCTCTAATATGTAGGCAAGAAAAAGTCAATGAAAAATTAAAACATCAAGTGTTTCATAGTAATATTTCCTTATTTATGTATTTGTCTCTAGACAAGAATCTAAATCCACTAGGGATACAGCCCAGCAGAATAAGGGCCTGCCTGGCACACGCAAGGTCCTGAGTTTGAGCCCTGGTATAAATAAAACAAACAAACAAATAAAAAAAAAAACCAAGAGAAAAGAGCTTTATTTTGTTCCTGCCATTCATTTCCTCAGTAATTAGTTCAGAAAAAATAATAAATACTTATAAATCAAAAATGCACGGAAGCAAAGCACTGCCGTGTCTGGCTCCTGCATGCCACCTAGTGGCTACATTACCAAATACCACGCGTCAGGCAATACAAAGCAAAAGGAATGCTGAGAATGGAAAATCCTTTTATAACCACCAGAGTAAAGGAAATGTAGAACTAATACATTGACCCAAAAAAAATAAACTACAATGCATGCAATAACGTGAATAGGTCCCCAGGATATAATACCGAATGGCTTTGTGCTCGAATGAATGCCTTTTATAGAAGATTGTACGACATGTGAAACAAATCTGGGATGGATCATATCAGAAAGGAGTTTGCTTAAGGGAATTTTTGTGTGTGTGCGGAACCGGGGATTGAACTCAGGCTCTTGCACTTGCCAGGCAAGCGCTTATTCTACTGAGCTATCTCCCCAGCCCCTATGCTTCAGGGAAGATAAAATACTGGAAAGAAACACGAGGAAGTTGTGTGTGGCATGGTGATAATGTTCTGTACCATTATAGGAGTTTGGATTCCAAAGTTTATGCATTTATCAAAACTTATTCACTATTCACTTAAGATTTTATATTTCATTATATGTCAATTTTGCATTAAAAATAACAAATGTGAATTTCTAGTGGTATGAGTGAAGTACTCCAGAAATAGTCAATGCTGATGTTTTCAACTTATCTGGAAATAAGTCTAAGACCTTGATGGCTGAACAGATTGACAGACATAATAAAGCACATACGATAAGGTTCACAGGGAAGTTATGCAGCAGGCATATGGCTCTTACTGTACATTTTGGGGAACGTTTTTGTCCTTCGCAATTTAACATAACATGTGGACAGATAATAGTCCTGTGCAACCCACTCTATTTTTACTTCTCCATTCTCATCTGTGGCTAATGTTCCTTTTTGTTTTTCTTTTTTTTTTTTAATGCATTTAGTACAGTGTCTGCAGGGTCTCACTACACAGATCAGACTCATAGTGATCCTCCTGTTTTCAGCCTCCCAAGCGCTGGGCTTACAGGTGTGGCCACCACGCCCAGTCTCAATCAGCCCAGTCTCAGAGTGCCCCCAGGGGTGGGCTAGCTGGTCAACCTCTACAGTTCCCTTTCTAGCTACATTTAAAGGTATCCGGGGTCCCCTACCTCAAGGCTTTGCACTTCCCCCTCCAGGTCCCTGGAATTCTCTCCCCCTTTGCCAGTCTGATCAGGAATGCCTCCCAAAGCACATGTGCTCAAGCCTGCGTCCGAGAGTGGTGCTTTTGAGAGGTTGCACACGTGTTAAACAGCAGGCCATTGAGAGGCCCTCGGGTCACTCTCCTCAGTGGATAGTGTCCTTGAAGGAGACAGCAGGGCCCCCAACTTCTTCCTCTTTCCTTCTTTCTCTTTCCAGCCTTGGGATAAGTGGTTTTGCCCTGCCATACACTCCCACCCCGTTATGCCATCTCTTCACTGTACTTCCAAGCTTAGCACCACTTTTTTGAATAAGGATCTTGAGAATAAAGAAAGCTTAATGATAAGTTGGGCCCCTGAAACATTCCAAGATCCAGTGGGAAAACTTCAAACTTGTCATTGAAAAGCTAATTTCCTGAACAAACTTTGCTAAACGTTCTCCCAGGTCCTCACAGCCTTCATTTTCCACGTTCGTGGAGTCACTCAGTGTGCCTCCCTGTGTGTCTGACTTGTTCCCTTAACATGCTTTCGGGATTCATCCACATTGTGGCACACGTTGATGTACATTTTTCTTGCTGAATAGTATTTCATTGTGTGGCCATTCCGCATTTGGTGTACCCATTCATTAGTAGATGGACCCTTGGGTTATTTCCACTTTTCGCTACTATGACAGTGCTAGGAGCACTTGAATTTGTTTCTTTTCTCATTGCTGAAACAAAATACCCAAGGCCCAAAGTTAAGGGAGAAAGAGATTATTTAGCTCATGGCTCCAGGGTGGGTAGCACGGCAGAGGGGCATCACAGAGAAGAAGCAGTCCCTGCAGAGGAGAAAGTAGCAAAGCAGGCAAGCAGAGGCCTTTGAACTTTTCTCCACCCCTTGTATACTCTCTCTAGGCCGCTGGGATTCCAGTGGTCACAGCCCAATCAGTGGACTGACTGAGGAGTCACACATCCAGCGTAATCCCTGCATGGCTATGAAAGGTTTTATCTGACCACATGTCCTGGGTCCTTCAGCAATCACCCTTCATTTCACCCTCAGCTGTCACCCTAGCAGAAAGGTCTCTTCTCACCTCTGTCTAAAGTAAGAGCGCCTCTCATTCACTCTCCAGGTTTTACGTCACTTTATTTTTCTTTAC